CACACACACACACACGCACGTACACATCTTTGAGAAAAGAGGGACAGAAAGATTGTAAAAGCCAGAGGATGTGAAGGACTATTTAAATGCAGTATTGTCTGGACATGACATCGCCTTGCAGTTATGAACTCATTGCAGCTTTAGTTACCTACACAGATCAAACTAGTCAAATTCCAACAGAGATGGGAAGGCTCAAGGAATCCACCACTAACTGAAGAGCTTTGGTATCTGAGGAGGCTGGGATAGCAAAACTCAGTTTCCTTCAAGGAATTGTCCCCTGAGAGGTTGCCCACACTTGACTCTACAACCATTCTTATATAAATATCACTGAATGGACTCAGTGGTGACTAAAAAAAGAGAATGAAGGTAGACAGATTCCTTGGGGTAAGATCTAAGAGAAATTAGAGTTGGAACCAATGGTTGATAATTTATTGTAAATATTGTGAAACTCACAAATAATGAATAAAGAAGGGCATATGGGAAACTCTGGAGGGAAAAATGGAAGGGAGAAATGTAATTATATTATAATCTCAAATATAAAATATCTAATGAGTCTCTGAAAATAATTTGGAAGTATAATGACATAGTTACTAACCATTTTGTCCACTTCTAAGCAGGATGGAAAAACAGTGCCCATTGTTGTTTACACATCATGCTCCTGTTTTAAACCAGAGACATAGAACCACAAACTCTTGTCTGACTTGATATTCCTGACCAGAAATGACAACTCAGTTTACATAATTACCTGTATTTTCTCCTGGTCCTTTACATTCCCTGAATATTGCAAGAATTTTCTTGGGAATTTATAAATAAACGTGTTAGGGTTTTTTTTTTTCTCTTTTACTTTTTTGGGAGGCCCACCACTCAGCTCCCAAATAAATCACACACAGAGGCTTATTCTTAATTAAGAATGCCCTGTCTTAGCTTGGGTTATTTCTTGCCAGATTTCCTTAACTTATCCCATCTACCTTTTGCCTCTGGGCTTTTCCCATTCTCTTACTTCTGTAAATCTTTCTCTTACTCCATGGCTTGCTGTGTAGCTGTGTGGCTGGTGCCTGGAGTCCTCCTCCTTCTCTGGCTACTTCTTTCTTATCTCTCTCTCTCTCTCTCTCTCTCTCTCTCTCTCTCTCTCTCTCTCTCTCTCTCTCTTTCTCTCTCTCTCAGATTTCTCCTTTGATTTATTCTCTCTGCCTGCCAGCCCTGCCTAGGCACAGTAGCACAGCTTCACAGAGTTAAACAAATGCAACATAAACAAAAGTAACCACCTTAAAATAATATTCCCCAACATAAACATACCAGATAGAAAAGGAACTAGTAACAGACCAAAGAAATGATTCCAAGTCCAGCTTTCTGAACCAATGACTTTATTACAAAATGGTATAATTTTCTATAAAAAAATTTTTATACCAAAGCGTGAGTGACTCTTGAGCAGCAGCATCAACAATGATTCCCCTTCTCCAGAATATTGGAAGAACAAGCAACTGCCTTCCTGGGGAGTTCCAGTCCCTAAACAGCCATGCACATCCTATATACTCCAGACAGGAAAACCAACCACATGTAATGTTCTAAGAAACTGGGGGAAAGAGACTGGTGACTACAATCTCAGATAAGGGTCTTATAATCCCCTGTGTCAAGATGGAAGTTTGCTTGCATGTTTTGATCGTCTGTTCACTTTTTTGTGGCATAGTCTCATTCTGTAGCCCAGGCTGGGATGGAACTATGTGGCCCAGGTTGGACTAAAGCCTGTGGAAATCCTCCTGCCTTATTTTTTTCTGTTTATTCTTCTCCTAAATATTACATCCTGATCATAGTTTTTCCCTCTCCACTAGATAAACTCCTCTTCTGTTTCTCTTCAGAAAACAGCAGGCCTCCCAGGGATATAAACCAAATACTATAAGACTGAGCATATACCCTCTTGTCAAAGCTGGACAAGGCAACTCATAGGAGGAAAGGTCCCCAAAAGAAGGCGAAAGAGTCAGAGACAGGCCCCACTCCCACTGTAGGAGTCCCCAAGAAAACCAAGCTATACGACTATAACGTATATGTAGAGGACCTAGCTCAGACACATACAGGCTCCCTGATTGTCACTACAGTCTCTGTGAGCCACTATGAGCCCACTTAGTTGATTCTGTGGACAATATTCTTGTTCCCCCCTGCCTTATTAATGCTGAAATTATAGGTGTAAACCATTCCTCTTGGCTCTGGAAGAATATTAACATTCTATCCTTTTCATTTCCGTGGACATGTTTCCGTGGACATCACTGTACTACTGCCAATATTTAGTTCCCATGACTGTGAACCGAGGTATTGTGTAAGGCAATTCTGCATCATGATGGTGAAGGTCAGCTGGGGAAAACAGCTCCCTTGCAATACTGGGAAACATCAACTCAAAGTTTTAGTTATTCTACTACAATCATTACATCACTCTCTTAAAAACAAGCCATGATGGGACACTAAGTACTGAACATACATAGACCATAAGAAAAAACGTGGCAATGTGTTAAGGGTTGTTAATCTCAGCAATTGAATGTCCAATGACTATATTACAATGAATTCTCACAAGCCTTCTTAGAATAAATTTGAGCAGATGCCTGAAATATCAGTATATATTTTATGTACTGATCTGATTGGCAATATCGACCCAGGGCAAGCTTCTGGATGTAATATAGAAGAGTAAGAGAGATTTGGGTCCCATCTTCTCATACACTGCTATTGATCCATAAGATACTGCTGTAGGTCATGACTTTTCAAGATGCCAGAAATCATTAGAATACCAAAGAATTGGCACTGAGGAAACCCTGTATTTTTCACCATTTTTCTTCAGGATTCAAACTCTCACTTTTATGTTTGACCTAAAGTTTAAGTGGCTGGCGGTGATTTCCTTTAACAAAATCAAGCTGTTTCTTTTTTGGGGGGGTGCAGTGAACTTTATTGATGGTGTTCAAGAGAGTAGGGCTCCCTAAGCCCCTCCTCCTGATGTTCTGGGGGTCTGGGATGGAAACTGTGAGGGAGATGCTCAGTATCAAGGGCTGAGATGGGACAGGAACTGCTCAGCAGCCGAGGGTCTCTCTTGCTGTCCTTGCTGGGGTGGGTGGTCCAGGGCGGGCTTCTTACTCCTTGGAGGCCATGTAGGCCATGAGGTCCACCACCCTGTTGCTGTAGCCAAATTCATTGTCGTACCAGGAAATGAGCTTCACAAAGTTGTCATTGAGAGCAATGCCAGCCCCAGCATCGAAGGTGGAAGAGTGGGGGTCACTGTTGAAGTCGCAGGAGACAACCTGGTCCTCAGTGTAGCCCAGGATGCCCTTTAGTGGGCCCTCCGACGCCTGCTTCACCACCTTCTTGATGTCGTCATACTTGGCAGGTTTCTGCAGGCGGCATGTCAGATTCACAATGGACACATTGGGGGTAGGAACACGGAAGGCCATGTCCATGAGCTTCCCGTTCAGCTCTGGGATGACCTTGCCCACAGCCTTGGTGGCACCGGTGGATGCAGGGATGATGTTCTGGGCAGCCTCACGGCCATCACACCACAGCTTCCCAGAGGGGCCATCCACGGTCTTCTGGGTGGCAGTGATGGCGTGGACTGTGGTCATGAGTTCTTCCACAATGCCAAAGTTGTCATGGATGACCTTAGCCAGGGGGGCTAAGCAGTTGGTGGTGCGGGAAGCATTGCTGATAATCTTGAGTGAATTGTTGTACTTCTCATGGTTGACACCCATCACAAACATGGGGGCGTCAGCAGAAGGGGCGGAGATGATGACCCTTTTGGCCCCGCCCTTCAAGTGGGCCCCAGCCTTCTCCATGGTGGTGAAGACACCAATGGACTCCACAACATACTCGGCACCAGCCTCACCCCACTTGATGTTGGCGGGATCTCGCTCCTGGAAGATGGTGATGGCCTTCCCGTTGATGACCAGCTTCCCGTTCTCAGCCTTGACTGTGCCGTTGAACTTGCCATGGGTAGAGTCATACTGGAACATGTAGATGATGTAGTTGAGGTCAATGAAGGGATCATTGATGGCAACAATATCAACTTTGCCAGTCTGGAAGGCAGCCCTGGCAACCAGGCCAAATCCGTTCACTCCGACCTTCACCATCGTGTCTCAGGAACGAGGCTGGCACTGCACAGAAAAATGCAGCTGTCTCTGGAACAGGGAGGAGCAGAGAGCCCAAGCTGTTTCTTATTAGTCTTCCTCAAAGGTACAATAAAGTCAACATGTGCTTTCTTTCTTTCTTTTTTTAAAAAAAATCTTTTATTCATGCCACATACCAACCACAGATCCCCCTCTCATCCTGCCTCCCACTCCCCAGCCTTCCCCCTCCGCCCACCCCCCATCCCCTCTTCTGAAAAGGTATGGCCTCCCATGGGGAGTCAGCAAAGCCGAGCGCATTCAGCTGAAGCAGGTCCAAGCCCCTCCCCCTGTATCAAGGCTGTGCAAGGTGTCTCACCATAGGCAATGGGCTCCAAAAAGACAGTTCATGTACCAGAGATAGATCCTCTTCCCACTGTCAGAGGCCCCTCAAATAGAACAAGCTACACAACTGTCTCTCCCATGCAGAGGGCCCAAATCCAGTCCCATGCAGGCTCCACAGCTGTCGATCCAAAGTTCATGCATTTCCACTAGTTTGGCTGATCATCTCTATAGTTTTTCCCATCATAAGCTTGATGTCGCTTGCTCATAGAATCCCTCCTCTCTCTCTCTCATCAATTGGACTCCTGGAACTCAGCCTGGCACCCGACCGTGGATCTCTGCATCTGCTTCCATCAGTCACTGGATGAGAGCTCTATGATGGCAGTTAGGATATTCAGCCATCTGATTACCAGAGTAGGCCAGTTCAGGCACCCTCTCGATTATTGCCAGTAGTCTACGATGGGTCATCCTTGTGGATGCCTGGGAACTTCCTAGCACTCTGTTTCTCCCTATTCCCAAGATGTCTTCATTTATCATAGTATGTCTTTCCTTGCTCTCCCATTCTGTCCCTATTCCAGCTCAAACCTCCTGTTCCCCTATGTTCTCATCCCCCATCCCTTGCCCTCAATTACCCCCCACCCCCAGTTTGTGCATGTAGATCTCATCTATTTCTCCTTCGCTGTGCAATCCATACATCCTTCCTAGGGTCCTCCCTGCTAGCTAGTCTCCCTGGAGCTGTGGGTTACAGTCTGGTTATCCTTTGCTTTACATCTATTATCCACTTATGAGTGAGTACATAACATGTTTGTCCTTCTGAGTCTGGGTTACCTCACTCAGGATGATATTTTCTAGTTCTATCCATTTGCCTGCACATTTCATGATATCATTGTTTATACTGCTAAGTAGTACTCCATTGTGTATATGTACCACATTTTCTTTATCGATTCTTTGGTTGAGGGGCATCTAGGTTGTTTCCAGTTCTGGCTATTATGAGTAATGCTGCTATGAACATAGTTGAGCAAGTGTCCTTGTGGTGTGATTGAGCATTCCTTGGGTATATGCCCAAGATTCTTGAGGTAGAGTGATTCCCAATTTTCTTAGAAACCACCATACTGATTTCCAAAGTGGTTATATAAGTTTGCACTCCCACCAACAGTGGAGGAGTGTTCCTCTTGCTCCACATCCTCTCCAACGTAAGCTGTTATGAGTTTTTTGGATCTTAGGCATTCTGACAGGTGTAAGATGGTATCTCAGAGTCATTTTGACCTGCATTTCCTTGATGACAAAGGATGTTGAGCAATTTCTGAAATGTCTTTCAGTCATTTGAGATTCTTCTGTTGAGAATTCTCTGTTTAGCTCTGTAGCTCATTTTTTGATTGGATTGTTTGGTATTTTGAAGTCTAGTTTCTTGAGTTCTTCATATATTTTGGAGATCTGCCCTCTGTCAGATGTAGGGTTGGTGAAAATCTTTTCCTGCTGGGGGATGTCTTTCTGTATGTTGTGAATATGTGTCGCTCTGATTGGTTGATAAATAAAGATGCATTGGCCTATGGCAAGGCAGCTTAGAGGCAGGCAGAAATCCAAGGGATAGACAGAAAGAGAGGAAGAAGGCAAGGGAGATGCCAGCCGCAGCCGAAGAAACAGCATGCCATGGAACATGTGGCAAAATATAGATGAATAGAAATGGGTTAATTTAAGTTATAAGAGCTAGCTAGCAAGAGGCCTGCCATAGGCCGTGCAATCGGTAATTAATATATGCCTCTGAGTAATTATTTTATAAGCAGCCCTGAGAAACCTTCTGATTACATTTTGGGTGACTGTCCAGGCAGTCAGCTGTCTCTGTCATTCTAGATTTTTGGAAGTTGCTTACAATGCTCTTCCTGTTTACTTAGGTAATATTATATCCTTCTGGGTTCTTTGATATAGTAGAAGACTAGATAATCATAATTTTCTTTAGTCATGATAAAAGATAAATTAGATATGAAACTTTAGACTCACAAATATAGGATAGATGAGAGAATATTTTCTTTAATTTTGCCAAATACAAATATATTGGATATTGTAACTGTAATTCTTGCTTGATAACTGTTCTATTATATGTGATTTTACTACGTTAAAGTTAAAAATGTCCTTTTTGATTAGACACAAAAGGGGAGGTGCTGGGGATATCTTTCTGTATGCTGTGAATATGTGTTTCTCTGAATGGTTGATAAATAAAACGCTGATTGGCCAGTAGCCAGATAGGAAGTATAGGTGGGAGAAGCAGACGAGGAGAATTCTGGGAAGAGGACGGGCTGAATCAGGGTCGCCAGCCAGACATAGAGAAAGCAAGATGACAAGGCAGAACTGAGAAAAGGTACCAAGCCATATGGCTAAACATAGATAAGAATTATGGGTTAATTTAAGTGTAAGAGCTAGACAGTAATAAGCCTGAGCTAATGGCCAAGCAATTATAATTAATATAAGCTTCTGAATGATTATTCTATAAACAGGCCACGGGACTGCAGGGGCTTGGAGGGACCCAAGAAACTTTCGACTACATTTTCCCATTCTGTAAGCTGTCATTTTTGTCTTATTTACCATGTCCTTTACCTTACAGAAGCTTCTCAGTTTCAGGAGGTCCCATTTATTGATTGTTGCTCTCAGTTTCTGGACTACTGGTGTTATATTTAAGAAGTGGTCTCCTGTGCAAATGCATTCAAAGCTACTTCCTATTTTCTCTTCTATCAGGTTCAGTGTAACTGGATTTATGTTGAGGTCTTTGATTCACTTGGACTTGGGTTTTTACACAGTGATAGATATGGATCTATTTGCAATCTTCTATATGTTGATATCCAGTTATGCCAGCACCATTTGTTGAAGATATTTTCTTTTTTCCAAGGTACAGTCTTGGCTTTTTTGTCAAAAATCAGGTGTTCATAGGTGTGTGGATTAATGTCAGGGTCTTCAACTTGATTCCATTGGTCCACATGTCGGTTTTTATGCCAGTACCAAGTTGTTTTTATTACTATAACTCTATAGTGGAGCTTGAAGTCAGGGATGGTGATGCCTCCAGAGGTGGCTTTATTGTACAAAATTATTTTGGCTATCCTGGGTTTTTTATTTTTCCGTACAAAGTTGAGTGTTGTTCTTTCCAGGTCTGTGAAGAATTGTGTTGAGATTTTAATAGGGATTGCATTGAATCTGTAGATTGCTTTTGATAAGATTGCCATTTTTATTATGCTGATTTTACCTATCATGAGCATGGGAGATCTTTCCATTTTCTGGTATCTTCTTCAATTTCTTTCTTCAAAGACTTAAAGTTCTTGTCATACAGGTCTTTTACTTGCTTAGTTAGAATTACCCAAGGTATTTTATATTATTTGTGGCTATTGTCAAGGGTAATGTTTCTCTGATTTCTTTCTCAGCTAGTTTATCATTTGTAGAGAGGAGAGATACTGGTTTGTTTGTTTGTTTTTAATTTAATCTTGTATCCTGCCACATTACTGAAGATGTTTATCAGATGTAGGAGTTCCCTGGTAGAATTTTTGGGGTCACTTATGTATACTATCATATTGTCTGCAAATAGTGAAAGTTTGACTTCTTCCTTTCTACTTTTTATCCCTTTGATCTCCTTTTGTTGTATTATTGCTATAGCTACAATTTCGAGTACTATGTTGAATAGCTATGGGAAGAGCGGACAGCCTTGTCTTGTTCCTGATTTTAGTAGAATCACTTTGAGTTTCTCTCCATTTAGTTTGATGTTGGATGTTGACTTACAGCAAGTCAACATCCAACATTGCTGTAAATTGCCTTTATTATGTTTAGGCATGTTTTTTGTATTCCTGTTGTCTCCAAGACCTTTATCATCAAGGAGTGCTGGATTTTGTCAAAGGCTTTTTCAACATCAAATGAGATGATCAGGTGGGTTTTTTTCTTTCAGTTTGTTTATATGGTGTATTACATTGACAGATTTTCATATGTTGAGCCATCCATGTATCTCTGGGATGAAGCCTACTTGATCATGGTGGACAATTTTTTTTATGTGTTCTTAGATTCAGCTTGCCAGTATTTTATTGAGTTTTTTTTTTTGCATCAATGTTCATGAGGGAGATTGGTCTGTAATTATCTTTCATTGTTGCATCTTTGTGTGGTTTGGGTATCAGGGTAACTGTAGCCTCATGAAAAGAGTTTGACTGTGTTCCTTCTGTTTCGATTGTATAAAACAGTTTGAAGAGTACTGGTACTAGCTCTTCTTTGAAATTCTGGTAGAATTCTGTGCTGAAACCATCTGGTCCTGGGCTTTTTTTAGTTGGGAGAATTTTAATGACAGTTTCTATTTCCTTAGGGGTTATAAGTCTATTTAAATTGTTTATCTGGTCTTGATTTAAGTTTGGTATGTGGTACCTATCCAGAACATTGTCTGATTCTTTTAGATTTTCCAGTTTTGTGGAGTACAGGTTTTTGAAGTATGACCTGTTGATTCTCTAGATTTCCTCAGTGTCTGTTGTTATGTCTCCCTTTTCATTTCTGATTTTGTTAATTTGGATATCCTCTCTTTGCCTTTTGGTTAGTTTGGATAAGGGCTTGTTTATCTTATTGATTTTCTCCAAGAATCAACTCTTTGTTTCATTGATTCTTTGTATTGTTCTCTTTGTTTATGTTTTATTGATTTCAGCTCTCAAATTGATTATTTCCTGGCATCTATTTATCCTGGGTGAGTTTGCTTCTTTTTGTTCTAGAGCTTTAAGGTGTGGTGTTAAATTGGTAGTGTGATATTTCTCCAACTTCTTTATGTGGGCATTTAGTGCCATGAATTTTCTTCTTAGCACTGCTTTCATAGTGTCCCATAAGTTTGGGTATGTAGTATATTCATTTTCATTGATTCTAGGAAGTCTTTAACTTCTTTATTTCTTCCTTGACCCATTGGTGATTCAGTTGAGCATTATTCAGTTTCCATGTGATTGTAGGATTTCTGTAATTTTTGTTGTTGTTGAAATCTAACGTTAAGCCATGGTAGTCTGATAAAATACAGGAGGTTGTTCTAATTTTTTTGTATCTGATGAGATTTGCTTTGTGACTGCATATGTGGTCAATTTTAGAGAAGGTTCCATGGGGTGCTGAGAAGAAGGTATATTCTTTTTTGTTAGGGTGGAATGTTCTGTAGATATCTTTTAAGTCCATTTGAGTCATAACATCTGTTAGATCCCTTATTTCTCTGTTAAGTTTCTGTCTGGCAGATCTGTCCATTGGTGAGAGTGAGGTGTTGAAGTCTCTCACTATTAGTGTGTGAGGTTTGATGTGTGATTTAAGCTTTAGTAATGTTTCTTTTACATATATGGGTGCCCTTGTATTTGGGACAAAAATATTCATAATTAAGACTTTATCTTGAAGAATTTTTCCTGTAATGAATATGTAATGTCCTTCCCGATCTCTTTTGATCAATTTTAGTCTGAAGTCTATTTTGTTAGATATTAGCATAGCTATACCAGTTTGCTTCTTAAGTCCATTTGATTGGAAAGTCTTTTCCCAGCCTTTACTCTGAGGTAGTGTCTGTCTTTGAAGTTGAGGTGTGTTCCTTGTATGCAGCAGAAGGATGGATCCTGTTTTTTATCCATTCTGTTAGCCTTTGTCTTTTATAGGCAAATTGAGTCCATTGATATTAAGGGATATTAATGACCAGTGATTGTTAATTCCTGTTATCTTTTGTGGATAGTGTGTGTGTATTTCCATTCTTTGGGATTTGCTGCTACAAGGTTATCTATTGCCTGTGTTTTTGTGAGTGCATCTAAATACCTTAGGTTGGAATTTTCCTTCTAGTACTTTTTGTAGGGCTGGATTTGTGGATAGTTTTTTTTTAAAAATCTGGCTTTGCCTTGTGCACTTTGTCTACAGTGATTGAAAGTTTTGCTGGGTATAGTAGTGTGTGCTGGCATCCGTGGTCTCTTAATGTCTACATTCCGTCTGTCCACGACCTTCTGACTTTCAGAGTCTCCACTGAGAAGTCAGGTACTATTGTGATGGGTCTGCCTTTATAAGTCACTTGGCCTTTTTCCTTTGCTGTTCTTAATATTCTTTCTTTATTCTGTATGTTTACTGGTTTGATTATTATGTGGCAAGGGAACTTTTTTGTTGGGGTCTAGTCTATTTGGTGTTCTATAAACTTCTTGTATCTTCATAGGTATTTCCTTCTTTAAGTTAGGAAAGTTTTCTTCTATGATTTTGTTGAATACATTTTCTGTGCCTTTGAGTTGGTTTTCTTCTCCTTCTTCTATCCCTATTATTCTTAGGTTTGGCCTTTTCATGGTGTCCTAGATTCCCTGGATGTTTTGTGTTATGACCTTTTTGGCTTTAGTGTTTTCTCAGACTGACAAATCTATTTCCTCTATTGTATCCTCCATGCCAGAGATTCTTTCTTCCATCTCTTGCATTCTGTTGGTTATACTTGCATCTGTAGTTCATTTACTAAGATTTTCTATTTCCATCATTCTCTCACTTTGTGTGTTCTTTATTGTTTCTATTTCAAATTTTCAGGTCTTGAACTGTTTTCTTGGCTTTCTTTAAGGGATTTATTGATTTCATCCAATCTTTTTGTTTGTCTTTTCCTCAATTTCTTTAAGGGAACTGTTCATTTCATCTTTAAAGTCCTCCATCATCTTCATAAAGTTATTTTTAAGATCTCTTTCTTCTGTTTCTTCCACGTTGTGATGTTCAGGTCTTGCTGTTGTATAACCACTAGGTTCTAGTGGTGCCATATTGCTATTTACGTAGTTGTATGTATTTTGCACTAGAGTCTACCCATCTCTTCCTCCAATAGGTGCAAGAAGTGTCTGTTTCTGAGGGAGCTGCTCTTGGTCCACTCTGTGCTAACTGTGTCTGTGTCTCAGAGGGCCACTCTTGGTCCAATCATGGCTCTTGCTCCAATCAGGGTTGACAGATTCTGTTTCTCATGGAGCCACTCTTGGTCCTATCAGAGCTCTTGATCCTCTTGGTCTAATCAGAGCTCTTGGTCCAATCAGAGCTGGTGGATTCTGTGTCTTGGGGAGCCCCTGGGATCACAGGGGCATGGGTGGGTTTGGGGCGGGAAGTGGGTCTTGTAGATTGCAGGGTCCAGTCTAATGTGGGTATTGGTGAGGATGCCTGCCTGTGGGAGTCTTCTCTGCTGGCCTGCACCTGAGGCAATAATGGGTGGGAGAAGGAAGCTTGGGTCATGCCCAGAGGGCCTGTGTCCTAGGGCACTTTGTTTCTTTCAAACTCACCTGATCAGTATCACAGAAAATACGGTGGTCATGGTCTGGTCTTTATTATACTACATCAAGCTATTTATGAAAGAAGATTGGTAAACTCTGGGGTCAGGGAATCTGTCAGGAATCTTCCAGAGAGGGATAGCCTTGTAATTTAATAGTTTTCATACTTGTACAAGTTTCTCAACTTGATATTTCTCAAATACCTATAAGTAGAATAATTAATGATGAGATGGCCACTTTGTAACCTGGGAATTATGACCCTACTGGTCCTAAATATAATGCATTTCCATGGCATGAAATCAATTGTTGGTTTATATTGGCATGCTGTCTGTATCAAAGTCGTCTTTATCCAAAGTGCCATAGACTTTGTTGTGTTCTAGTAATGTGCACATGATTGCCGGTAACAGTAACTCTGACATGACATTGTGTTGAAATTTTCTTATCTATGATCTTGGCGGCAGATTGTCTTCTTCTGCAACCTCTTCATGGCATCTTTGATTTCCTTGTTCCTCAGACTATATATCAAAGGATTCAACATGGGAATCACCACAGTGTAGAAGACAGATGTAAACCTGTCAAAGCTGGAGGAGCCACCAGAGCTGGAACTCAAATAGACAATGATACCAGAAATATAGAAGAGGGAAACAGCTGTCAGGTGAGAAGCACAGGTGTTAAATGCCTTAGACCTGCCTTTAGTTGAAGTGATCTTCATGATTGACAAGACTATATAGCCATAGGATATCATGATGACTAAGGCATTTGTAAGCCCAAACAATATTGTTAATATAGCAAGCAGGACCTGTGCAAAGAAAGTGTCAGTGCAGGATAGATTTAACAGCTGTGATATGTCACAGAAGAAATGTCTGATGACATTAGGTCCACAGAAGTGGAGTTGCAGCAAGGCACATATCTGAGATAAGGAACCTATGAGTCCTGCTGTATAGCTTCCCAACACCATACGAGCACAGAGGGTGGGTGACATGACTGATGAATAGAGCAGTGGGTTACAAATGGCAGCATACCTGTCATAGGCCATGGCTGTCATGAGGCAGCATTCACACAGCGCCATAGTGGAAAAGATGAAGTATTGAACTATACAGCCAATGAAGCTGATAGTTTGGTTTTCCTGGAAGAAGTTGGAAAGCATCTTGGGGACTGTTGAGGTGATATAGCAGAGGTCTATAAAGGACAGATTACTGAGGAAGAAATACATGGGTGTGTGGAGGTGGGAATCCATCCTTATTAGAACAAGAAGCAACAGGTTCCAGGTCAGTGTTATAATGTAAAGGATGAGGAATATAACAAAGAGCAGTGCTATGACTCGGGGGAAATCTGAGAATCCCAGGAGGATGAACTGGGTGATCTTGGTAATATTTCCTCCCCCAGTCATTACTTCTGTGCTCCTGTTCCTAAAATAAGAAAGGAAATAGGACAATGCATTGCTGACTCAAGTGACATTTCAGCATTGTCTCAATGAGAGACATCTTAAACTTGATTAACAACTTCTTAAAACAATGCCTAAGAAATGATGTGATCACACACACATGAACATGTATACATATGCACAAATAAGTATATTCATAAGCCGGTGTGTACAGACACATGTGAGTACACACACACACACACACACACACACACACATACACACACACACACACACTCACACACACATACATATACAGACTTGGATCATACTGTCATGATTTGTAATTTTGACACATTTTGGTGGAACAATAACATATGTCCCTAGTGAAGTTATGAAATCAGTCTTCCTATGAAATGGTCATATGAAGAACTCCAAAATAAATTTTAAGATTTCATTTCCTGACATCAATTTAAACTTCTATTACAGTTAAAACTTATTGTTCTATTTATAACAATTTCCAAAAACTTGTTTAATACAACATTTCCAAATTGGTCTGAATCATAGTGTCATGATTTGAAATTCTGACAGATTTTGGTAGCACAGACACTTACATTCTCAGAAAAGTTTAAAATTCATCCCTTATGGAAGTGTCACGTGAGGGACTTCATAAGGACATGGGTAGTGCCCATTCTTGATGCCAACACTGCTTCATTTGTAACTGTGCTTCTTCTAGTAAACAGGGCAGTCTGGAGGATTTTAGGGATTTGGAAGTTCAGTTCTGATGTCTGTTGTTCTGTATTAAACTACCCCAGCAACTTCAAGACAATGGCCTTGAGCACTCACTGTAGAGAGACGACAGCAGAAGGCCTTGGCTAGAAAGTTGTTGAGACACTAGAGCCACCCATTCATGCACAGAATCAGCCTGCACCTAGGTGCACAGCCACTGTCCTTTAGATTCTGATTGCTAGTATCACTTATTGTCAACAATCATGACTGAGAGTTACACCTTGGGAGAGTGATGCCTGGTCTACAAGTCTCTGAGATGTCTTCAGCCCTGAAGATAGTGAGACACAATGACTCCAGTCAATTGTAGATTCAGAACCAGCATCTATGCAGATCAAACCATCCAGAAACATCAAAATCAACTGAAAAATCCTATTCTTTGGCATTTGCTTGACTTTGAGTACACAGGGTCCAGGGACAGATATAAACTGAAGGACTTGACAGAGAAAAGACTCAAAGCAGATATTTTCTTTCTGAAAAATCTCTGGAAATATTTTTGTAATGACAATTAAAAAGTTAGAGGTCTCTATTTCATAATAAATAGTACTTATTACCTATATTCAGTGAAAGAGCCAGCCTGTGATAACACCTACAAAGGATTTCGGAAAGATGAGCATGAGAAACCATAGACACTTAAGACGAATGCAACTCGACTGTTAACATCATGGCTCATTATTATCACAATGACAAGTACCAAAAGAACAGACATTTCAGAAACAAATGGATTGATACGAATTTTCAAATGAGGAAGCTAGTAATTTAAATTACTGTGGAGTGAGCATGCCTTCATGGGCTCTGAGATCTGATTCACTGTAGGAAAATTATTAGAGGATCCATTATATGTTGATACACTCTTGGGATTAAACGTAACCACCACAAATAAAGTAAAAAACACAAAAAGAAGTGGAAAACCTGGTTAAGAGAAAAAGAATAAAAACTCAATTGAAATATATGTTAATAGTCACAAAATATACAAAGACAGTATACAACAGCTTTTCTGTGAAAGATATCTTCTAAATCAACAAGGAATGATCACCACAGCACTGATGAGTTCAAGGAATGCTCTCCTTATTTGATACAAGTTTACTTTGTATAATTACTCTCATGTATGTGTTCTATGTCTCTCTGTCTTTGACTCTCTTTTTCTATATAATGCTCACATTCATAGATCAACATAGAGGCACACAAATGCACACACGCACAAGTACACATAAAAACATACACACTGTGTGAACCATTTCCAAAGAAACACATTAAAACCAATTAAAAGCCAAACAAAAAGTAAGAGTGCTGTGATTTTTATTATCTTTTTCCTACTCAACTGTGTTTCCCCAATTTTGTATATCTGCTATATTTTAATAACAATTTAAGATTTATATCCATAATAACACAGGGAGAGAAAGAGAAGCTGACATTCACTTACAGGCTGCGTATCCCTTTATCATGTTAACACTTCACTACCTCAGTAGCCTCGTGTATAAATAGAGATGATGAAACGTGCCATCCTCTAGCACTGCTCACGAGAATGAATGACATAAGGGCTTACACGCAGAGCTCCGCTAATGTTAGCAATTATTCTTCCTGCCATCACCTCCCTCTGCAAAACGCAATTAATGGCAGAACAAAGATGATATATCAAAGACCTTTGGACAACATTAGTGCCTACAAAAATTGTCTGAGCCAGGTTTCAATAACAGTATTGAGAAATAGTTACTAGAATATCTGCTCCTGTCTCCTATTATTTTTGGAACTCCCATTCAGTCAGATTGCAGGTTCTTATTGCTGCATGTCTTTTCTCCACCAAGTGCTGTCTAGAAGACAGTGAGGTCCATGAAGGCCTGGAGGAGATTCTCTCCTTAGTGTTAAGTGTTGTGTTCACTCCCATTTGCATCCACTCACAAGTATAGGTTGAATGTATTTCAGCTGGTCCTACTCAACTCTGCATTTGAAATTCAAATATTACTCTTACTTACTTTCCATTACAGTTTTATGAGCTTCACCATTCTGTTTATTCTTGAAATAAACAATGTTGTTTCTCAGTTCAGCCAAATTGAGTTAACTTTAATGAAAGAATTTTGAAATGATAAACTCTCATGGGTAACATTCTTAAACATCAACCTAATTGGTCAATTCAATAAAAAATGATTTAAATGTTTGTCTCTATCTCTTTGCATTCTGGTAATATAGGCAGGTACATTTAGGTATATTCTATGTAGCCCACTATTCCTAGTAAATACTGAAAATTATGAACCATTACTTTACTATTAATATTTTTCTAGACTAATTTATGTAAATATTGTGACAGAGGGAAGAACGAACATACTCACTCTTTTTATTAGTGTTCTGTGCGTGTTCGGCATCTCTCAAGACAATTTAAAGGGGAAAAGATTCAACTGGATAGACACAGCTTTTCCATTCTGATCTAAGAACAAGGTCAGTTTAATGAAAGGCGGTGGAATAATAAATTAAATACATGTTGCTGAGAGAGAAAATGGGAGTAAAAGAAACTTAAATGGACAGTTAGACCAGCACTACCTGTGTCTGGAGTGGGTGTCTCTGATATCTGCACCGCCAAAGCTAGTGTCTGGGGGACCACCAGGTGACACAGGAGACCTTTTTGAAGACTGTGAACTGTCTCAGGGAACTGTGCATGAGTACTCTGTCACATCATAAGACTTGATTTGTCTCTTACAACAGGAAGTCATGAGCCAAAGCTGTGCATCTGAATAGAATATAATTCTTATTATTTCCAAGATATAATCCTGGTAAGCAAAAATGCAGTGAAAAGAGTTCCAGGGAAGGTGGAAGTGGAGATATGTGGACAAGCATGCTCTGCTCTTAGGAAATCTGAAACCCAGTCAATTCTCTGTCTTATCCAGATCTCAATTTCTGGCTTTTAAAATCAGTGAGGCTTTATAGATAATCTGATTTGGTCTGAGCTGTCCTCATTATGTCCATTGTTATAAGTAGAAAATGGAAAGTAACAGAATTTAAGGAATAGACTTAAGAATTCAACAACCACCTCTCACCTCAGACACAAACCTGATATTTTAACATAGCATATATTCTTTTCTATGAACAGTGTAAACTTGGGTAAGTACAAAGGGAAACTGAGGGAAAATATATAGGGTGTGGGTATTAGGAGAGTGGCTAGGGGATAGGTGGGAAAGATTTATCCCCACAAACCTTGTTGGACAGTGAGTCCTCTTGTAAAAATGACAGATGTCGAAATAGCTGACTCTAACTGCAAGGCTTACCTTCTGATCTTCACACAGACTAGAGGAAGACAGAATTCTCGCCACATGTTGAAACTGTCAATAATTTTCCAGGAGGGCCACTAGTATATTGCTAACCAATGTTTTTGGCCATTAACCTGGCTGTCTACTGGTGAGACAGTGAGAGAGAAACACCAGGGAATCCTCTTAAATGTGCAGTTGAGAGCCAAAGTGGCAGGGAAAAGCCAATTAGAGAAAAACTACAGTCTCTTGCTCTCTGGCATCGTGGTTGTCATGGAGATTTTTCTAATAATTATAGGCCCAGTTTGCCATGTGAATTAATTAATTCTTAACTTCCCCTGTGATTCTATAATGACACCAGTCTGTAACTTTACTGACCTTGGAGGTATTTTGTCTGCGAAGGACATAGGGGTCTTCTAGTCCCCACATCTTAATTTCTAGGAGTCAAACTTGAGTTCAGAGATGTTAAGGGATACTCCAAGTTAACACAACTAGCTGATAACATAACTTGATAGTGATAAATATGTACATGCATACAATATAGAAAGCACTCTATTTTGTATAGATATGCACACACATTCTCAAATATCTGTTGTGAATCAATCAACACAGCAGCTCTAACATTCCTGCAGCGTTTCCAATGTATACATGAAGAATTCAAGGCAATAAACTACCTACCGATTTATCACAAGACACTGAAATTCAGGAGAGAATGCCCTATCCCAATCACAACCTTGGCTGTTGATATAATACAGTAAAATTTGCTTTGAGGACTGGAAAGATGTTCATTCAGTAAGGGTGTTTGCATCAAGCTTATGATCTGAGCTTTGGGGCACACATGGTTGGAAGAGAGAACTGAGTCCCAAAGTTAGCCCTCTGTCCTACACACACACACACACACACACACACACACACAAATACAAAATTGACGTATTGAATTCTGGCTTTGCCTCTTACTGTTTTGTGTCCTTGTATACATTTCCCCAAACCACAGTATTTCCATATATTAAATGGCAATAACAGT